ACACGTCAACTTATTTTTACTTAAAAAAAATTCCAGAATTGCACAAAAATGGCATTGCGCACACTCTTCACTATATCCATGTACACTGCTTTTTTCTCATAAATTAGAAAACTTTTTACGAAAATGCATGACAATTTTCTGAATCTTTAAACCCGGTAAAAAGAACATATATGAAATTACCTTATCGCGAAAAAGTATATACCCTTTCCAAATATGAACATTTCCACGTATAAAATAAATAAAATATCCAAAAACTTTTACCTCTAAATTATCTATTATAAACGTCACCAACGAATTCATACCGCAAACATTACAAATACTTAGTGTCAAATATTTAAATTATTTCCATGCACGTTTACTTCAACTAAAACGTATACCAAATTCCTACAAACATAAAATTCACAAAATAACTATCATTTAATTAAAATATCACTAAACCATGTACACGTCGACTTATTTTTACTTAAAAAATATCCCAGAATTGCACAAAAATAGCATTGCGCACACTCTTCACTATATTTATGTACACTGCTTTTTTCTCATAAATTAGAAAAATTTCACGAAAATGCATAAAAGTACTCAACGTATACTACTCAAACATATTCCAAAATACTACAAACATATAACTCACAAAATCACGATCATTAAATTAAAATATAATTAAATTAAAAAACACTACTTAAAATATAAATAAACACATACATTAAATTAATAAAATTAAATTACAATCCTAATTACTTTAAACTAAATCATTGCTAATAACAATTTTCAAATAATACCATTTTAATTTATTTACTCCTTACATTTAGAACAATGCATAAAAAAATAATATCCTCAAATGATAAAAAATTCTAACTTACCTAATCTTCTTCAGAATCTTCATTACGTCGCTGCAGTACTACTGCTAATTTCTAAATCCTAAATCCAATAGTCAACTGGAAGTCTATTCACCAAGTAATAAGAAATTAATAAAATTTCACCTATACTCAAACTACTTTCAGCAAACCACGTACCCTTCCTTACACTCCTTTTCACAAAATGTCCATTTTCACCATATTTCTTGCACTGCCATTTAAACTTGTAATATCCTTCCTTTCACACAATCTCAACTTATTATTAATATCAGATAAACGCATTAAAAATTTAGAATTCACTTTACATAGTGCCATGCAATCCGAAAATTAATCAACACTATTTCACACAACGAAGCTTTTCCAAATTAACCCCCTTTTCCGATTAAAGAACTGTAATTCATCCATTAATGTCATGTTTCACACAACACAGAATATAGCTAAATACGAAATTTCCAGATTTCCCCCCTTTTCCGATTAAACAACTGTAATTCGTCCATTAATGTCACATGACATATCTCATGATCTCTCATTTCCCTCACACAAAATAATGCGTAATCGGAACTGAGTGCTTCTCACATTATTACCAAAGTCCTAGGTAGTAACCTTTATCGCCTCCAAAATGTCGCCAAACTACCAGTTACCATATTCCAAAGATCAGCCAAATGTTTAAAATATTCTGTGGTAAAATCCTAATGTACGGTAAGGCCTTGGCACGGTTTTGAAAAACTGTCGCTAACATCAAAACGGCAAGTACTGCTCATCCTAATGTTGTCAAATCCTGTGTATAATGTATACTAGGATTAACCTGATTTTGTGTCATACGAGAATGGGAAGATATTTTCTTTCGTTCAACATGCACTGCACACGCGCGAGTCTCTCGATTATCGAGTTTACTGGAAAATTGCTCTGCTTTTCTTAAAGACAATCTGATTGCAGCTGCGAAAACTGGCTCTGCTACCCGAATGATACTCACGCGATGCATAATTTGCCACGAAAGTTGTTGGTGCAAAAGATCCTTTTTTCTGGGGGGGGGTTGCATATAAAATTCCCAGACTTTTCCTGATTTTGACTAAAATATTTAAAATCCACCTTTTTTTTTTTTTTTTTTCAATTTTCGAATTCCCTGGTTTTCCAAGTAGCATGGCAGCCCTAATAAAACTTAAGTAATAAACTGTTGGAAACTCAAGATTAAAATGTGCATCTAAACAGCAGTGAGACAAAATTAAATGTGAAAAGTAGGGCCACAGAAGATGGTTTAAAAGGTGTCATATTTTAGTAATAATGTTTACAAAATCAGATGGGATAAGGAATTAAATTTTTTCTCTTTATCATAAAAATTCTATTAAATCTAAGATTATTCAGGACATGAATCATTTTAAATGTATTGGTGAATAATACTTGAAAGAATAAAAGCTGCATAAGTAAAAAATTTCAGTAAGTTCTGTGTTTTTAACCCTCTCACTGTGTATCCTGCAATTTCCACAGGCAAAGTAGCAATATTTTCGGAACCCACGACTTCCGAGGAATGCGTTCTTTTCTGTCTATTTAACTGTGCAACCCACTCTTTTTTCATTCATGGTTTCATTTCAGCTTTACTCTGATGTTTGTTTACTCCAATCCGGGTTAACAGATGACGTTGGCTGTCCATATTTCTGCAAAATATACAAGCATGTATAAATATGGTTTACACCATTTTGTACGCTCTTTTCAAAGCTCAAAGATGTCTTTAGTTCAAATCTCAATCCCATGAGACTAACTGCTCAACATTTGCTGTCCCATGACATGACAGTCTGCTAGCCATATACATCCCTCGATCCCATCAAAAAAGAGCCTCCGAGACAGTGTGCTATTTGTTGCTCAAAAGAAAAAAAAACCTAAAACTAGTGAAAAAATTCGGTAAGAAATGTGAATTTGGTGCAAAGTTTGCGAGGTAGGACTTTGCCTCGAGCCTATTTCGAAGTTAATCATACTAAACTATTTTGCATACTTTCATTAGAATATATGTTTTAACTTCCTATTTGATAAAACAAATCATAATTTAACCACAATTAATTTCCAAACTTTTGCTTTTACATGATTGTTCTTCAATTTTCCAACAACCTTTTGTTATGATCTAATTCTATACTGAAAAAAAAATTTTTTTTCCCCTTAAAAAAAAAAATGGAAAAGTTGGCATATTTTAACTCTAAAATACATGTAGATTTGAAATATATAATAAAAAAACAAAATTTTTAACCCATTTTGATAAAAAAAAATTTTGCAGCAAGAGGCTTAATGTTTATTTTCCATTAACAGAGTTGTTATGTGTTATATTTATTATATTATTAGCAGTTCATGATCAACAGACTGTCTAAAAAATAGTGGCATAACTTTGTGCTACTCTCAGAAGCAGCATATATCGTAACATTTTGATTATTTTCGTCTCTCAAATCAAGGGCATGGTAAAATTTGATCACATATTTTTTAACCAAAATAATTAACTATAGTGGTTTTCAACAACTGTATGGGTTAAACAGTTTTTTCTTGTAGATAAAAGAAATTTATTTTATAGTCTTAGGAAATATCACTTTATTTCAGGGTGTTAAGACTGAGACACCATAAAAATATAATTTCAGCGGATAAGATTTGGAATTTTGCTCACATGAAAGGAATGCCGATAAAATCATATTTCTGGTTACCATGATAGTTTAACTTTGCTTTAGCCTCCTGATTTTTTTTTAAATAAAAATAGATTGATGTGTACGACAAATTTAAAGCAGTGCACAATGCCTAGTTTGTGCTATTCCGGGATTTTTTTTAAGTGAAAACAGATCAATGTGTACATGGACACAGAGTTTATGCAATTATTTGACTTCTTATTTTTGTTTTGTGTAGTGGCCATCTTGAAATTTTTTCCTGGCGCCGGTCTTGGCATCAAAAAGAATCGCCAAAAAACAAGGGACACCCAATTGTAAACTTTTACCGGAATATTATAACAACAGTTAGAAGAATTAATTATAGATGATTTTACTGAAACACAGGCTTTTGATGTGCACCATGCTGGTAATTAAGCATTTTAAAAGTGGGGGGGGGGAACATTAATGTCTATGTTAACTATTTTAAATGTAATGAAAATACTGTAAATCATACATATAAATAGTGTGCACATTAAAACTTCACCATTATTAGATGCTCTGCAAAGGTGTGACTTGTTAAAACCTATATCTGAGACTCAAACTTTGGTTACAAATAACCAGTTGGAACTTCAATAAGTAAATAGCCACAGAGAAAATTTCATCAAAAAGATAGAAGACTCAGTTGTTCTTGCAATTGAGTTTTAAATTTACAAAATTTATTAAAACATTTTTATTTTTTACCATCAAAACATTCTAGAATATACACAAAATCAAAAGCGAAATGAAATCTTTAGATTAGTTTTAATTAAGCCTAATAATATTCAAAACCAAATTATTGAAAATTATTAATGCAGTTTTCTTTTCAACTATTAATAAATAATATAATTTAGCTCTCTAAAAATAACTGCATATGCAAGAGACACATTAACAGTACCGTAACTCTTGTCATTTTTAAAAATACTACATAAGCCTGATAAAAAAAACAGCAACATAATTTTCCGCATTTAAGCAAATTAAGTCGCGATTTAATGGATTAAAAAAAAAGGAGGGAAACGCGTACAGCGCCAAGATTTCGCAGTTTTACCATACTAACCGGTGTTATCGGAATTTTAGCAAGAGACGTTAAATAAGTAGCCAGCCAAATCCGATCCTATACGGATCTTCCCCGAAAAGTACAAATTATGACATCATTATTTTTATCCAAATGAAAAAAATTATAACAAAATTTAAATTACATCTTTTAAAAACTTAATTAACAGAAAGCAGTCTCCCATGCTAAATACGCCATAACAAATTAAATTTTGGCGGGAATGGGAGTTGTATGCCGTTAGGGCTAGTAATCTTAACAGTACGAATTACATACAAATAATTACCAATAATAATTTCTATAATGAATATACAGCTTACATAACTATTATTATATATAAATACCATCACTCTGCATAAGTTAAAAAGTAAATAACATGAAAAATTGACCAATTCAGTAGCACATATTCTCGATGATTCAAATTGCAGTTAGATCATTTCTTACCGTTGAGTTATGCTCCTCATTATTTTCTGAAGACATTTCGGATGGCCTCTTAGTCACGTAAAATTATGAGAAGTTAAACAAAAAAAATAACAGTAAACAAATGTACAAGTCGAAAAATAACAATAATTCAATCCAAACCACTTCGGTGAAGAACACGCACAACAACTAGTTCCCGCTGTTTGCAACACTTCCAAATACCTTACAGTTCACTTCATTTCATATCCAAATTCGAAATTTGTGATTCACTTACCCTATAGGTAGCGCTGCAAAAATTTAATGAGAAGCCTAAAATTTTTGCATACAAAACAAATAGTATTTGACGTTTCGGAAAGTAAATCACTCTACATCATTACAGAAACCAAGCGTCAAGTGTATTTATAATCATGCCTGAGGATGTCCGTCAAGAATATCTATGTTGCAACTCTGAGGGCTACAACGCGCAGGCTACAAATTAAATAATACCAGCAATGATTTACTAATATAAAGATTTTAATAGGGATATCTCACACAAGTGGAAAACGTTACAATATCTCTAACAAGTGCATACATATAACTGAGTGAAAAGGGAATTCCCAGCTTAGTTCTCAGTTAAAGAAAAAATGAGAATAATAAAAAATAGTCCAAACGAAAGCGGGGCTCCTTCTGTCGACTTCGCCAGTACCTCCTACATACGTATGTAGGAGGTACTGGCTTAAGACGGTAGCCTGGACGATGGAGCTTGAAGTGATTGCGTAGTAACCAGAGACTCTAAAAACCTTTTTGATATGAGGATCATCGCTATTGTGATGTCACCCTATGCTATGAATATATTTTTATCCTACTTGTTTTCATCTTTCTATGTTTCTTTTATTATCATTAAAATACTAAATCTTAATACTGGTGTCATCATTATAGTAAAGTAGAATGAGAACCCTGCATATATATATAATACGATTGATATAAATATGTACCTAGCGTATTCGGAAACTAAGTACCGTTTCATTCTAGCGCCGTCGCAGCGCATTGGTAGGCGTCCCGCGCATGCGCACTAGTCTTTCTTGTTCACTGACTTTCAATTGTCGTCATTTTGATTGCTCTATGTTGTGTTTTCAGTTTGCTGTGCACATTCAAAATGTTTAAGACAATTAGTTCTCCCGCTGTCTGTGAGATTCGTGCCGTGATTAAATTTTTGAACGCGAGGAATGTTAAACCGGCCGAAATTTATCGTCAAGCGACAGAAGTTTACGGTTAATACGCGATAAGTGATTGAATGGTGAGAAATTGGGTAAGAATGTTTAATGCAGGTCGAACAAATATCCACGCCGAGGTTCGGAGTGGTCGGCCTTCTATTGTCACCGATGATTTGGTAAGGAAAGTTGATGAAGCAGTTCATGAGAACAGACGCTTCACAGTGACAACTCTTTCAGAGGCATTTCCACAAATTTCACGTACTGTTTTGTTCGAAATTGTGTCTGACCGCTTGAATTATGGCAAACTATGCTCCCGATGGATTCCAAAAATGCTCACTGATGTTCACAAAACAAAGCGACTTGGAAGTGCCCTGACCTTTCTCACGCGGTACAGTGATGAGGGAGAAAACTTTTTCAACCAAATTGTGACAGGTGATGAAACTTGGGTGTGTCATTTCACACCAGAATCGAAACAATCAATGGAGTGGAGACACACTCATTCTCCGAAAAAACAAAAGTTCAAAGTGACAATCTCATCACAAAAAATCATGTGCACTGTCTTCTGGGATAGGAAAGGCGTTTTGCTTACTGAATTTCTTCCCAGAAGTGAAACCATTAATGAGGCACGATATTGTTTAACTTTAACAAAACTAAGGCGTGCCATTCAAAACAAACGAAGAGGAATGCTCAGTAAAGGAATTGTGTTGCTCCATGACAATGCTCGGCCCCATACTGCTGGTGTCACTCAATTGTTAATTCGACAGTTTCATTGGGAGCAGTTCGATCACCCGCCGTACAGCCCGGACTTGGCGCCGTCCGACTATCACTTGTTCCTGCACATGAAGCGCGAGCTTGGTGGCAAGCAGGGGCGTAGCTAGAGGGGGCAAGGAGGGCATCTGTCCCCGGGCGCAGAATCCAAGGGGCGCCAAACTGATGTGGTGTGGTGTATTTAATTATGGAAAAGCACACTAGGGCTATCTGCCTAAGGGGAGGGATGCCTTCGTGGAGGACTTTCTAAGGGAAACTGGCTCGTATACATGTTACACATGGGGAAAACCACGAAAACACCCATGCTGCCAGCCCGTTCGCGGGATTCGAACCTCGGACCGAACTACCAGTGTTCAGCGACTTTACCGCTCGGCCGCTGGTGGGCCGCCAAACTGATTTTACGACATTTTAGAATTAAATGTTTTTCATCCTTGGCAAGCAGTAGGGGGCGCGAAATCTTCAGTTGTCCCCGGGCGCTGAAAACCCTAGCTACGACTCTGGTGGCAAGCGCTTTGGATCTGACGATGACACGAAAAATGCTGTGGAGTCGTGGTTATGGAAACTGGTGGGACGTTTCTTTGACGATGGTATACAAAAACTGGTCACCCGCTATGACAAGTGTTTGATCATTGGCGGAAACTATGTTGAAAAATAGTTTAAGCCATGTATTTTCATGTAAAAATAAAATTGGATTCGAAAAAATTGTTTTACTATTTTTTTTTTTTTTTCAAAACGGTACTTAGTTTTCGAATACGCCTCGTATATATATAGAGAGAGAAAGATAGATAGTTATCATACCAGCAAATCTTAAATTCAGTCCTCGCTTCAACGCCGTGAGTTTGTCAAGCTGCGCAGAGACGCGATTTGAAAAGAACAAACTGATTTGAGTTCAATTTAAAATGAATAATTCGGGTTATTACATTATTTGTTCATAATATGATTCTGATGCCAAATATAACTAAATATCTATATCAATATTCTAAATTTTTACATTCTTTGGCTAATTTACTTCATCAATTTTCTTAGACATTTTTATTGAGAGAATAATGGGGAGGGAAGGAAACCTTTTATATATATTTAACTGATTTTAAATACGATGAAAATGAAATTAATAATATTATATATTGTTACGTGCGTACGGGTTCGTGATACACTGAATGCACAAGTGCTATGAAAGATTAATAAAATGTATTTTTATGAAAAGGAATATAACAGAACGCTGGAATTTTTCTCAGGGATGTTCGTGTAAGTACACAATATCACGCAATATAATCAGAAGTTATACTCCAAATTGCTAAAAACGTTAAATAGAACGCAATACACAGCGCATTTAAAGAGAAAGTTAATCCGATTTATTTCAGTTCCCAAGGAACTATAATTCGCAATAACAATAAGTAAGCAACTTAAAATGAGACGCTCTTTCTTCGGCCTTAACCTTCTAAAACCGGCCCGAAATTCTCATAATATAGCCTTCAGACCGGCGCGATCCGAAACAGTTTTCCCCCTCTTTGACATTTTCCTAACGAGAAAAGTCGTTAGTACCCTTCCATGGATGAAGTAAAATTTACATGTTTGTCAGACACTTACGTCCCATAGTAGAGGGGTTGCTAGATTTGCAATTTTTTCGATGATTATTTTGCTTTCATTTAAATGAAGTTCTAAATAAATAGTGCATAAATAAATATGCAGTACTGGATGCATATCCAGTGCACTATTTATTTAGAACGAAATGTATGCAATGTTTATATTTCACTCACTATTTCTAATCAATCTCGTAAATAATTTGTGAATTTTTTAACTTTGTTTTCACTCTTCATTTATATTCGCGTATTTTCGTATTAGAAATTAGAAAGCGAGAACAAAATTTAGTAAATACGGACTAGATTTGTAAGTCTGCAGACTGAAATGCGATTTTTAATAACATCTTTTCATTAATAAAATAATGGTAATGACTAATTTAATGAAATAATAATAATAATAATATTTATTACCATTAGATGATTAGAATGAGATTCATAAATTAGATTTTGAGATAAACTTACAGCAATAATAAAGCTTTACATAACAATAACAGAGATTTAAATCTGCTTTTTTCGATAATTTTGTTATTATAATATAAAAATCAAAATCCGAGATACATTGGTTGCGTTTAATCATTTAACTTTAACAAATATTACATTGGACTATCAGGCAAAGGAAGGTATATCTTTAAACGAGAATTTTTCTTTTGTAAAATTGGCTTTTGTTTATGTTAGCAGGGGGAAAAAAAATTCCGTGACCTATACATGCAATCATCAAAAGAATTTTTGAGAACAGTTTTAAATGTTTCATGAAGAATTATACTTTATACGTCAATTTCTTTTCATAGGTTAGAAATTTCGTCTAAAACCATCGTTATATCCAAAGGTTGAAGTCTATTTCATTTTCAACGAATTATTCAATGAATATTCTGTTTGCACATAATATATTTTAATTTAGTTTAGAAAGAGTAATCTTTCACGTTTTCAAAAGAATAAGGATATACTGGGTGTTGACACAATGAAGTAAATCTGTTTTTCAAATTTCTTCCAGTAATGAAAACGATTACCCTGGAATATTTTCAAAGCAAAATTAAGAAAACCGTTTACGCCAAACTTTGCATAAAGTATCTTCTCGTGTATTTTTTTATTTAAAGTGTGGAATTTTCTCTTTGAAAATATCAAAAATCATGAACGGAGCAAAATTAATTCATGAGAAATAACTTTGAAATGCAATAATTCCATCGTAATATGAAATAATGGAGAAAATTGCAATACAGTTTATTTATTCACAAATAATCCCCCTCATATGCGTAATTTATGTACTGTCGATTGAGAAATATAGGTTAGTAAATTAAACCGGTTACTTCAATACTTTTCCTTTATCAATATTTTTACGGGCTCTTCAGTAGAGCGGTAAAGGTGGTTGAACACTTGCAGCTCGCTTGGGTTTGAATCCCAGCTAAATAGTTGGATTCACGGTTTTTGTGTAACGTAAATGCAAGCCAGCTTCTCTTAGAAAGTCCTCCGCGAAGGCATAACTTCCCTTATACAGGTAATTGTTGTGTGCTTTGATGTAATTCAGTAAGCGAACAAAATTAATCCAATCAAACCCGAAGAAGGGGTTAATTACATGTGGAGTTTTCCACCAGGAACGTAAATGCGAGCAATTTTCTCTTAAAAATGTTTACACGAAAGCATTCAACCCCTTAAGCAGATAGCTTTCGCATGCT